CTCATGGTGTGGCCCAGGCTGGCCAATAGCTCAGCTTCTCTAGTGCTAGGACCACAGATGTGTCACCATGCCAGGCTTGTCTTTTCTTTTTTTGTTGGTGCTGCCTGCCCAGCGTGTTCTGTTACTTTCTAGTCAGTCACAAATAAGCGGAGAACTTCTCCAAGCTGCATCTATCAATATGGTGGCAGACAGCCCTCAGCTCCCCTCTCTGCTTCCCCTCAACTTTCCCTGTCCGCAGTTTTCTCCTTAAAGAGGACAAATTTGATGGGCTCCCCTGTTCTGCAGCCCGAGAGCTAAGGGCAGGCTTGTCACAGGTACAAACCTAGGGAACTGGTACAGTAAACAACACTTGAAGACCTATAATAAGTGTATTAATAAAGGGAAAACCACACTGGTTTAAAGTCATGGTTTATAATAAACTTATTTTATATAAGATGCTGGAGTGTATCTACTCCTGTAATGACTAAGTTGCCATTTTAATATAATTCAGTTCTCTTTGCTTTTGGGTCTTTACAAGCCTGGGTTCAGGTTTCTAGGTTGTGGTTATCTTTGATTAATAAAAATACTATGCAAATGTTTTTTAAAAAAATTCCTTCCTTCCTTCCTTCTTTCTTTTTTTCTTTATTTCTTGGCTTCTTGCTAGGGACTGAATCCAGGGCCTTGTGCACGTGAGGCAGTGGCTCTACCACTGAGCTGTCACCCAGCTCTAGTGGCGTCCATTTCTAAAGAACTCTTGTTAGGCACTGGTGTAAGGGCTTTCCTTACCTTAATGTATGTAATCCTCACATAGGATCAGTTGGTTGGGTTTCCCCGTGTTACAGATGAGAGAATTTAAGTTTAGAGCTGGGAGCCACTGCCAGGGTGAATCCAGTCCTGGTGCAGTGAGGATTCAAATCCAGATCATTCGGACTCAAGATCTTATTCCCAGCCATTGTGATACTGAGCCAAGTAACACAACACCTGTGACCTCATCCAGTCATGTGGCTTTAAAGTCAGTCTACGAGCTGACTGAGTTTCCAGTGTCCATCTCTAACCCAGACCCCCCTCAGGCTCAAGCATATAACTACCTGCTGGCACTGTCGCTTGACTTGCTAGCAAATCCCTCAAACTTAACCCTGACTGGTTGGAGCCCCAAATTACCCTTTCCCTTCCTATGTATGTTCTTCCCTCAGGTCCTCCTCTCAGGCAGGCGTCTCCATTCAGTTACTCAGGCCAAAGTGTGGGAGTTAGCCTGACTCCTCTCTTCCTTTCACAGCCAACATGCAAGTCATCGACAAGTCCAACAGGACTCTTACATCCAGAATCCAAACCACTCTTATGCCCCCACAGTTACTGCCCTCCTCAAAGCCGTCAGAGTGAGTCAGCCTTTGTCACTCCCTGATTTGAAATCCTTTGGAGACTTCTTTACTCATGCGAAGGGTGTTATTATAAAGTTATTGCCTCTCTACTCCAAACCCATCCTTCCATACGGGATTTTGTGTCCTGGAAAAAAACCTCATTTCTCCTTCGTCAGCAGGATCCCTGCTATGCTTGACCAGTAGGGGATGCTGGAGGGAGACTATGCTGCCTGAGGACAGAGAAGGTCTTGCCCCTCCCTGCTTTGTTTCCTTAGGACTTCCTGTTGGCCTGCAGCTCCGATGAGCAGCAGTCAGTCCCCCTACCTCACTCTGACAGGGACACATCCTCCATGAAGCAGCAGCTGAGTTCACTTTGCAATTTTTCCCACGCCAGAACCAGCCTTTCAGTGCCTCTTCGGGGACACTGGACCAGCTGTCATTGCCCTCTCTTAAAGGTCTGGGCTGCAACCCTCTAGGAACCTCTTCTGAGCTTCTAAATTCTAGCATTGTCTTCTTGTTTCCTCAGCCCCGAAGGCAGAGGCAACACCCTATGGTTGTTGTCCCAGACATTTCAGAATTCTCTTTTTACCCTTAGGTCCTGGTTTAGTCCTAAGTAACGATTCTTCCTATTAAATGAAATAACTGGTGCAGCTTCTGTCTCTTGATTGGGCCCTGCCTAATGTGCTGAGTCAAAGCAAAGGCCTTAAAGTCATACATGACCCGGCTTCCCACCACCTCTCCTGTTTGAACCCCTTCATTATTCCTCTTGCTCATTCTCTTCTGACCACTCTGGCTCCTTGCTATTCTGTAAACACACCAACCCCTCTCCTGACAAGGACCTTCACCCCTTCTGATTTCTTTGACTGAAAAACTACCCCACAATTGTGTAGACTTCCATTTGGGTCCCTTGGCTTTGGGTCTCCTTGCAACCTTCGTGAGGCCCTCTCTGAATACCCTGCACAATCCATATTCCTCCCCACCCCCTTGGAAATTCCTGTTCTTCTAGTCTGCTTTGTTTTTTCTATACCACTCATCACTATTTTAGCTAAGTTTCAGTTACTATAACAAAATACCTGAGATAGTCAACTTATAAAGAGGAAAGGCTTATTTTGACTCCTGGTTTTAGAAGTTTCAGTCCGTGGTTGCTTGGTGTTCTTACTTTTGGACCTGTGGAGAGGCAGCTCATAATGATAAAAGTATATGGTGAAAGAAGCTGTTTACTTCCTATCACATGGAAAGCAAAAAGAGAGGAAGAGGAGGTGCCTAACATCTCCTTCAGGGGCACACCCCCATTGATCTAACTTCTCTCCACTACCAGCCCCCAACTCCTACATGTGCTACCTCTGAGTAGCACCACAGGCTGGGAGAATGGTCTTTAGAGAACAAATTTAAGCACCATCTGGGAGTCTGTTTGTTGATTGGTTCCTCCCTCTAACTAGAATATAAACTCACAGAGTGGATACTTTCCTTACTTTTCTGATTTTGTGATCACTATATTCTAGGCTTTTTCTGCAAATTGCTGGACCTGAAAACATGTGTAACAAAATTTAGAAGGTGCTGAATCTGTGGCATCTCAACTCTACCTTCAATTCCTACTCAGATTATGAAATGACAGCCTTATCTTACTAGGATACTAACCAGAGAACTTGATAGCATACCCTAGATATTTCCTGTTCCTATGAGCTTGGTTCAGAATGGCAGAGTCTGGAGATGCAGGCTGTTGGCTTTTTGTTGTCATCTGTGTGCAGACTGTGTCTGTGAGGGTGGGTGCATTGTGTGGGTTGCCAAACCTCACTTCTGAGGTGAGGCCTAGCCCTCTAATCCAGGAAAACTAACATAATGTTCAGACCAGGAAGGAGCAAGAGAAGATTTCTTACATTAGCAATTGCTGGAGACCGAACTTCATAGGGTTAAAGGCTGAAATGACCCTAAATGCAGCACATTACAGGGGACACCATGCTCTGATGGCCTGGGGGTGAGCTCCCTGGGTTACCATGGCAGCTGCTGGGTTCTCCTTACTGTGATTCATCTGTTTAGTCTTGTTTGCCCTGGATTTCAGCCACCTGGGTTTCAGAAGGTGCTGAGCTGGCCGATGTTCTTGGCCCCAGAACACAAGTGTGATTGGTGCCATGTTAAATGCTAGTGGCAATTATGGCTGCTGATTTGAAAGGAAGCTGAACATACTGGCTTTCATCAGGTCAGCTTTGCTTGGCCACATGCAACTTTCCACTTAGGAAAATGAGGGCTAAATTCTTGGTCCAGGCAGGCTCTTTCAAGGTGTTGTGTTTCTGTTCTCAATGAAACAAGACAACTCCGTGAAGCCGGGGGCTGTCCGCACTATCACTGAACTTGGTACCATGAGAAAGGTAAGTCTTAAGCCAGGAAAATCTGTTCTCCAAAGGTTTAGATGCTGCTCATTTTTGGTTCCAAGATTTGCCCACGTTAGAGATACTGTGACCTTAGTTTACTGTGCTGTATTTGAAACTAAAAATTTGAATTACGGTTTAACTCTTAAAACACAGAATGCATGCTGCTAGCAGGTAATGAGAAAGCACCCTCAGAACACCCAACACTCTGCTAGGGGAATACAACACTAAAGGCATGGCTGTTGCCCTCAGGAAGCTCCCACTGCATTTAGAGAAATAAGGGGTACACACACTCAGAAGCATATGAACATACATGAGCATGAAAATGTTTGTGTAGACTAGAGTATTATAGAAACTCTCTTGCCTGTACAGGAGTGAATACATAATTGTTGATCTGTGTTTTCTTTAGAAGACCCCATTGGAATTTGAGGTATCCTGGAGAAAAGAATGCCATTTGGATCAATAAGGAGAAAGGGAATGAGCAGTAAGGCCACTGGCTCCTGAAAGGGTTCTGCAGCAAGACTAAACATAGCACACTCGGTGTTATGCAATGGATGAAATCGCTCCAAAGGAGTCATTAGAAAGTGAGATGAGCAGATGGGAAAGGACAGAGCCTTGGAGGACACCCAATCTGGTTGAGTAGACTGGATATGTGCATTAAAAGAGATAAGCCAGACTGTTGTTTGTGCAATTTAAAATACTGAAAAAGATTCAAAAGAAAATGGATAGACAATACCTGGCAATGGACCTTAAAGGCCAAATGAAAGATACAAATGAGTTTTTCAGGACCTCAGTGGAGGAAAGAAACAATAGGGCTGGCTTTGGAGAGGAGTACTGGGGGAAAGTAAGTCTTAGGGCAGGTATGAGCAAGCGGGGAGGCAGGTAGAGGGGATAAATGGTAGTTGAAAGGGACCTCGAGGTAAAACTTACTCTAAAAAACTTCCAGTTTCTTGCTGAAAAAGGAGATGGGTGTTCGGCCAGCTTTGGGGTCTGAAGATAAGAAGAGAAGATCTGTAACTGGTATCCTAGGGAAAGAACTCAGGGAAAGGTTGAGGAACAAATACCAGGGTACTGAGCACTTTCCAGGGCCAACTTGCATTTGGATGGTGTGAGCCTGTGGTAGGCCAGGTCTGAGGGCTGCACATCCTTCCTCCTTCTTTGGTTATGTTTTGGGATTCAAGCAGTCAGGATTGGGAGAGATGGAACTGACTGGAAAGGAGAACCATGAGGGGTGAAATCTGGTTGCCCCTGACAGCAGTGTTTGTACAACTGAATAGAACACTTGGGGGCTGGCAGGCGGAAGAGGCTGCTGGTTAGCAGATCATTGTTAGGGGCAGAGTCCATCTTGTGCTGACGAAGTCCTGGGGAAACCTTGTTGGCCAACATGTGAGTGAGTAAAAATAAGGGAAGCTAGGGGAGAAAGCATAACATTATGTGCTTAGTTTGATACTTCTCTACATTGTGGAAGTTACATGGTCAACAGTAGCATAAACAACGGGATGGTGATAACAAACTCAGAACATTTTAGAACAAAATATTCCCCACCATTCTTTGGATTCCCATTGTTCTCTGTCCAAACTTATTGACCACCCTTTGGTTAATACTTGGATAGATTTTACTGAGGTTGAAAGAGCAGACATAACACCTAGTTTGGAACCCCAGCCCCATTATTTTCTAATTTGTGAGATCTTGGGCAAATCAGCTAACCATTCACCCTTACTTTTTTCACCTGTAAAGTGGGAATAGCAACACCTTCAGGGTGGAACTGTTGTGAAGATGAGTGTTAGGTTCCCACAGTGACCGGTGTTATTTTACATTAGAATTTCAGAAGAGTTTGTGTGTTTCAGTGTGAGGTATTGCCAGTGCCCAGCCTTGTTCCCTTTTCCTCTGTACATCTTCTCTCTCTCCTGCTTCCTTCACTTACATAGTAATATATGTTGGTTAGGTTTGTGGTTAGGAGTGTGGAGTGTTGAGTTCTGTTAGCCTGCAGTGAGCTGGTATTTTGTTGCTAATTATGCCACTTTTAAGCACAGTAAGAGAAGGAATTGTCCCCATGAATTGGGGCCATTTGGCAAATCCCAGCTGCCTTTTGATGCCAGTTGGGATCTTTCTTGCCGAGATTCTCACCAACCTGGATGACAGTCTCCTCCCCCGTGGACTGCATCAAGGGTAGCTGTGTGCTGACTGACTCAGCCTTTGGCTGAGAGAGGAGTAGGGAGCGCTAGTCAGGGCCTGAGAATGGATGATGGCTGATAGTGTGGGAGACTGAGGCCCTCCCCAAGCCCCAGGTATGGATCAAAGCCACGTGGTCCCAAAGTCGTGTTTTCAAACCAACTCATATATGTGAAATTTATCAGGGAAACTTAAATAAGTCCAGGCAGGAAATAAGTTCAGACATATTTGGAAGATATTGAAGAACGGAAAGAAAAATTCTCTAAAAGCTTCCATCTCACTTTTCACTTTTTGTATAAAACAATTTTGCTTCTTGGATTCCATCTTTTCTTAAGGTATATTAAAAACACTGTGCTCACGTGACAACTATGATATTTCCTCTTTAATATTATATAGAATGAAGTTCAAGTTCTGAATTCCTTGGCATAGGGTGTGGTGGTTTGGCCAATACTTTGTTTTCTCTAATTTAATTTGTCTAAATGACAAGTGAAGACAGGGTGGGCTGAGGCCAAGAACTCATGTTTCGTATTTGCCTGACACTTTTTGCCTACAGATCTCAGATTGTTATGGTTTGTGTCTGGATGTCCCCCCAAAGCCTTATACAATCATGGGGTGGGCTTTTAGGGTTTGTGATTGATTCATGGTCCAATGTTGGGACTATGGGTGTGAGTGCTACACTCACCCTGGAGTGGGTTGTTTGCATACAATGTAAGGGAAGCAAAGAGGCTGCTTGCTGCTACTCCTCCCTTTTGCTCTTGTTGCTTTTGCTGTGTTCTGCTGCCATGAACTGTTCCCCTCTGCCATGTGTCACTCTGCCTTGGAGCTGGCTGAGTAGGGACTGAAACCTTCACAAACTGTGAGCTAAATGAACCTTTTGGAAGTTGGGTATTTTGTCCCAGCAATAAGAGAAAATTAACAGAGACAGAAGGATAAAATGGAAATAAAGCTTTGTAAATAAGGAAGGAAGAGGGATTGAAGGGAGGGAAGGAGAATGGAAAAAAAGGAGGTATCAAGCTACATTATGTACAGCTACAAATTCCCTATGATGCATGTGATCAGTATGGATATCTAAATTGTACTAATAAATTTAATAATAGAAATAGTATTTTTAGATAATTGGCATATGTTGATAAAGTGAATAATTGCACTGTACTCTACACATTTTTTATATTTGTTTCAGCAGTTTAGGGGATCAAACCCATGTCCTCACGCATGTCAGGCAAATGTCCTTCCACTGACCTAAACCCCTTACAAGGAAACCTGCTTATTTGTGCTGTCTTTAGTTTCTCGGCTTCTATGAATGTCCTGGAAATTTCTTACTCTAAGAAGTAAGCCAAAATGACAAGCCAGGGTGGTGGCACACATCTGTAATCCCAACACTCAGGAGGCTGAGGCACAAGGATGCTATGAGTTTGAGGTCAGCCCGGGCTGCAGAGTGAGTTCAAGACCAGCCTGGCATAAGTAGGGAGACCCTGTCTCAAGAAACAAATAAACAAAAAGAAGCAGCAACCAAAATGATATAAGGTTTTATTTGAAAGAAGTATTGAGGTATAAAACGTTGCCACACATAGACTGTAAAATCATCCAGGGGGGTGGGGTATCATTTTGCTGCTCATATGCAGAAAAGAGAAAGCATTGTTTATTAGAAGTTCAATGTAGACATCTCTTGTTTTTTGGCTTTTTGTATCCAATCTTTTCTCCCAGAATGTAGGAGCCAAATTGATTTAGACAAATTCATCACTCTCTGAAATGTCTATTCTTCTTTGCTGAAAGTCAGGGACCTAGTAGACCTCATTCTTTCCAAACCCACTGTGTAAACACTATCAGAATTTTGGAATAAAGTAAATTTAGAGAATAAGGATATCTTCCCTTCTTCCTGTTTATTAGAAGCTATTCATTTATGTAGAAAATTAGGAAAGTTCAGAAAAGAATAGAGGTAATAAAAATGACTCAATATCAGAGGTACAATTCTGAATATTAATTACCTAGTAATGGTCTATGTCAGGGAGGGGAGACCACCCTTCCTTTGTCTCTTCCTTTTAATCCTCTTCCTTCTCCCTTCCTTAGAAACCTTCAGAATTAAAAAGAACGAAAGGTGGTTGATAGCTCCAAATGTTGGGTTGGATGCCTGTTTGTGTCTGGCCAGCATGTTTCGTGTGCATTGAGATTCTGTCATTGCCAGTTTTCTGCTCTTGAATCTGGCTAGGTCACGGAGCCTTCTCTTGGTAGCCAGCTTCCTGTTGATCTTCTCAGGCACTGGCGGACAGTCTACTCGCATGGCTTTTCAAGGTGACAGGTGGAGCCATAGGATCTTGAAAGTGTGTGATCAATCACGGACAGTAACTAGTGTCCCCAGTTTCTGATAGAAAAGGATGAAAACATCGAGTTGAAAGTTAGCTGAAGTCTAAGCATAGAGAAAGTCAGAAGTGAAAATGATGCTGAACCGATGGCACACATTGACTTAAAAAATATATTTTCCCCCAAGTGCTCAAAAAATAACCACCACTGCTGTCTGGTATCCAACTGAATGTGCGAGCAAAACAAAGCCAGATGCTTTCGATTAACTCCAAGGCTTCCTCATGCAACAGTGCCATGGCCAGTTTCCCTATTGCACTTACTTTCTATAAATGAGCTTCTTCGGTTTCATCTGTACTTGGTCTCGGGACTGCAGCCACCAGTGAAGGAGCAGGAAGTGGAGAATCCGGTCCAGTGCTAGGTAAAGTAGCGGTGGTGCAAAGGCAGCCCGCGATCCAGTCTGCCGGCCTGTTTCCAGCTGCCTGACCACGAAGGCTCATCCAGGCTATGACTTCTTCCAAAGCAGCTGTTTGCAAGTGTTTCCCTCAGCTGGCTTTCTGCAAAATGACATCAGCTCTGATCGTTGTTCCATTCCCAGTATAATAGACAACTAAGTTATTTAGAAATAGTACAGGCAGTCAGACAGGGCTAGGTCTTTGGGAAAAGGTCAGTACAGGAGATGACTGTGGCTGGAGGCACATTTATTGAAAGTCATGCCTCAAGATAGAGAAATGAGGGCTGGGGATGTAGCTCAGTTGCACAGAACCTGCCTGGCAAGTGCGAGGCCTGGAGTTCAGTTCTGGATACCAAAAAAATAAAAAATAAAAAAGAGAGAGATAGAGATAGAGAAATGACTACACCCACATACTTCCCCTTAGGAGGAACAGCAGTGGCTGACATTCTACATAGCTGTCAGTCACCTTGGGTGGGGGACCAAAACCTCCCTGACCCTTCCCTTCTAGGAAAAGTCCTTGTTCGGTCATGTATGGACTTGCCTCCCCCGTTGATCTTGCCTCACCTTGCGGCTTTGCTCTATAAAACTCCCTTGAAAAGCAGGATCCCTGGGCTACCCATTTGGGTCCCCTCTGTCTCTGAGACAGAAGCTATCTTTTTCTCAATAAATACTTCATACTCTTAACTTCTGTTGTTCCTAGAATTCTTCAATTTTAGAGAACATGAACTTGATGTAGCAGACATCTAGCAGATTGGGAGTTATATGTCTTTTATATTATTCAGATTATTTGGAGGCCCTAAATTATCCCTATCTCATCCCTGTACCACTAGTTAGGAGTCACACAATTGCTGGGCATCTGTAGGGCGCTAGAAAACAGCTTCTCATCTGAGCTCATGAGCCTTCTGGTCAGCAAGGCAGGCGGCAACACTGTGTGAAGAAGGGGCAGTGTCCTTCAGTGGGTGCAGCCAATTCAAGGCAGAAAGAGGACTTGGCTTTAGCTTCTTCATGTGACCTTTGGCAGTTTAAGGACTGCACAGTCATATGGAGTGGCCCAATCAGAGTACCTGAGGACTTGCTAGAAGATACTGTGGGTAACTTTTAGATCACACATAGATGCCTGTCTCACATGGAGCTCTAAGTGCCCTGGCTATGCTCTCTCTGTTCCTACGAGCAAGGGCACAAAGTGGCTTCATAGACAGGCAGACATGTCCACTGGAAGAAATTACTGACCTAGATGACCAGAGAAGCCAGGGATCTTGCTGAGACATCTTTTAACTAGTTCTATAAATCCCCCAGTGATACTTGATTGAGATTTTATTTAGTTTTTAAATCTTGAAAAACTGCATGCAGTGTGTTTGTGTAGACTTGCTCCATTTAACAGGTTCTTGGAATTTAGATCTTGCATGTAATTTGCTACATTAGCTTTGGGCAAAAATATTTGCTTTTCGGTCCTTTGTGGTTTAAGCTCCTTCTCAGCATTGACCTGGCGTGTTAGAGAGAGAGCCGTGCTGTGGGACACCACAGGGGTGAGGAGCTTAGCAGGGAGTCCGTGCAATAAAGCTTGTTACTGATGGCAACTTTTCAGACAGGAGGAGCTCATACATGATGTTCCTGGTCTATCTGGCTGGTTGTTTATGTATTTGGGGCATATTATACAGTTGAGATTAGAAAACTGAAGCTGATATGATGAAACTTTTAAAATTTCAGTTGAGGTTGGGAAAATGTTCTCTTGATACATTGAATTAGACTAGCCTATTGCTTTGATGTGGTTTTCTTTATTGCTGCTGTTCAAAGTGACATTCACACTTTTGTACGTGCCCCAACACCTCAAAGTTGCCCATCCTTGAGGAGAATGGACCCAGGATGTGTTATCACAACCAAGAACTTGGCTGTCTTCTTGCCTTCTCTAGAGAATTTAGCATTGAAGTGTTGATTACCGAATAATTGGGTCTAATCTCTGTATATTCTTTTGTGAAGAGGAGAGATGCGTATTATGCTCCTACTTTATGAGAGGGGAGAGCTGAGACACAGAAAAGGAGTGTAGTGGTTTCCCTTATCTGTGGTTTCAGTTACCTGTAGTCAATTAAGGTCAGAAAATATTACATGGAAAATGGTCAAAATAAACAGTACCTAAGTTTTAACTTCCGGCTGTTTTGAGTAGTGTGATAAAATCTTGAGCCATTCTGCTCCGTCCTGCTTGGAGATGAGGCACACCTTTCTCCAGCATCTCTGAGCTGTATAGTTATTTGTCCATTCATCATTCGCAGCTGTCTGAATTATCAGATCACAGTGCTTGTCTTCAGTTAGACCTTGTTTCACTTAATAACGGCCTGCTGGCAATTTGGATACACCAAGGAGAAGTTGAAAGTGTTTCCATTAAGTGGAAAGAGGATAATATAGTAAGATATTTTGAGAGAGAGAGCAAAATCACAGTCACATAACTTTTATTACTGTAGACTGGGATAACATTATACTTGATTATTAATTATTGTCATTGATCTCTTATTGTACCTAATTTATGAGTGAAACCTTAGTATAGGTGGGTATGGATAAAGGAAAACAGTGTATGTAGGCTTCGGTGCTATTCATGGATTCAGGCATCCTCTGAGGTCTTAAGACATACCCCCCAGGGATAAGGGGACATGACTGTGACTGGTGTAGTCATGGGGCAAATCCCAAAGCAGTACCTGAGTACTCTGAGGTTATCCTAGGAGGACAAGTAGCTTATGAAGACAGATCCTGAACCACAGTAATTTTAAACCATTCTCTCTCATTTCAGCGAAATGTGAAACTTCCTTTTTTTCCTATTTCTGCAGCATTGCCAACCTCTCCGTTGAATCTTCAGTCCCAGAGTAGATGCAGTGGAATGAAGCCATATGGGAGGATTTTGTTCTAATGTCAACATGGAAGGTGAGAATCTATTATATTTTAAATTCTGCCCTTAAAAAGCCTTAATTTGTCCATTTCATGCAGCACACATAGCTTATACAGCATGCAGAATTACTGGTATATACAATAATATACATGTAGCTCAAAAGACTATGTAAGTGGTATTTAATCTTACAATGCCATATCTTTGAACATTAGCATCTTGCCAAGAGCCTCAGAGAGATAAGTAAGAGTGGAGACTGATTCAGGGCAGAGTGGATTCACACCTTCCATCTCTGGCTCACTCCAGGCAGGCTATTTGCTTGCTTAGTGAAATGCTTGGTAGAACTGCCCACATACACAGAAAATTTCCCTTTTTTCCTTTTTTTGCTCCTTATCCACACTCTGTGTGGCCTCTTTTTTCTCTTTCTCTCTCTTTTCCCCTGGTGAATACAATTGAAAGTAAGCTCAATATGCTTGTGGTATCATTTTACCGTATGTTTTATCCATGAGGGCTGCAAGTCCATGAATGTCACCGGGAACTATAAAAAAAGAACACAGAAAGCAAAAGGGAAGTTTGTTCCTTTTCAGTGCTCAGTAGCAGGAAAACACACCGATGGGCTGCACGCATTTGTTGGATGGATCAAACTCGCATTGGGACATGGGTTGATCGTTAATGTTGAATGAATGCTTTACAGTGAGGGGTTAAATTGGTTAAGCCAATGTGATCAATCTTCTTTTGGAAAAACAGGGCTTAGCGTTCTAATCTGGGATGCACTGCCCCAGGACAGCACTAGTTATAAGCAAGTGTAACACATGTTAAAAGCATCTAAGGAAGAATTCTCAAACTTCCACAACTGAGTATTATATAACAGGGTCTTTCCATCTCATGCTCATTTTATAGGACCAGATTTCCTCTTAGTTACCCCAAAGCATCAATACTTTATAGCAGTGGTGGCGAACCTATGGCGCATGTATCGCAGCGGGGTGTTTGTATCTTTGAAAGGTTTTCCATCACTGCTTTGTAGCAGCCGCAATTAGGAACTTTGAGGAAAATTATAGATCTGGAGAAAGCCCACTTGGGAAAAAAATGATCTCAGAATCTTGCTCTAGGACCATCTGGTTGGTTAGTTGCCTGTTTGCTCCCAGACTCATTTCTTATTCTCCCTGCTCTGTTTTATATTGCATGGCATGGACCCCAATAGACTACATTCCCAGATGATCATGCCAAGTGTTTTATAGCTAAGTTTGTCCAGTGAGAGTCATTGGGTGTAGGGAAAAGGAAGAGGCCGAGATTTTGGTCCCTTCAGCTTACTGCTTGGGACAATGTATTTGAGAGTAGCTAAGGGGTAGTGGCTTCCTGTCATTACTAATTTCTGGATTACCTTACAATTCCATTTAGGGTTATACAATGAAAAAGTATATAAATTTATGGTGTACAACCTGGTATTTTGATATATGTACTGTGGAGCACTAAATCAAGCTAATTAGCATATGCATGACTTTACATTCTTATCATTTTTTTAAGCTCTTTTGATCTTTGTGGCCATATTCAGTTCTCTCAGTTGAACTACCTGATGTGGATTGGTTTTTTTTTTTTTTGTTATTTCTTTATACACCCTGACTAATGCTCGTTCATGTTCCAGCCTGTATTTGGAAGTGTTGTCTTTGGTCTGATGGATTTGTCCCTAGGTCTGACCTTAAATCTAACCCACTCTTTGTTCCTTATGTACATTGTTGTACTGTTTTCTGGCTTTTCACCTTGATGGTTGGGTATGGTCATGCTTTTTGCTATACCCTGGCCTTGATGCTTTAGTTGCTCCCTTTACACTTTCAGTTCTGTAGGTACAACTTGTGTTTGAGCTATGAGATTCTAAGTGTATTAGTCACTTTTTCATAGCTGGGACAAAAAACCTGACACAAGCAAGTTGAAGGAGGAAAGGTTTATTTTGGCTCACAGTTTTGAAAGTTTCAGTTCATGGTCAGGGGAGCCAATGCAGCAACGTTGTGGGAGAAGGGCTAGGCAGAGGAAAGCTGCTCACTTCATGGCAGCCAGAAAGCAGAGAGGGTTTGAAAGAACTAGAAAGGAAGGGACTACATATAGTCCCTGAGGTTGCACTCCCATGACCCACTCAGATATGTGCTTTGCTAACCTCCTAGGTGTCTCTTAAATTGACATTTATGATTAGCATCATACCAGGTTTTTAACCAAGTGAGTCCTTGGATATTTGACTCCACTCACAATTTTTACTTATACAGCTTCCTCAAAGTCATCAGGAAGACAGAAGGGAAGTTTCACATCCATGCCTAGATAAACACTGTATCACCTTATGTACTGTAGCATATATGAGGGGTTGGAAATAGAGTGAAATACTGATCACCCAGTGACCCTTCTCACTGCCTGGGGTTTGCCTTCAAGTAACCATTATGCACTGGTGGACTCATATTCATTGATTGCTACTAAGGGCAAGTTTTAATGTTGAATACTTTGTGAAGGACACATATGAATAAGAAACGACCAATGTCCTCAAGACACTCTTTCTTTAGGAAGACGGATGACATACATCAGTGATTCATATCTAGTATATGTCATGTATGTTACAAGATAGGAAACTATAAGTTCTATAAGATGAGTGCAGATGAAGTGTTATTTGCATGTGGAGGAGAAAGTTGTCTGGCTGGGAAGTATTAGAGAAAACCCCATCATGCAGACAGTATTTAAATGAACTAAAAAGCACAGATATTTGAGTATGAATAGCTGTGGAAAGACATTTAGGAGGAATGATCAAAAGCAAATAAGGACACAGTGAGTGATCAGTACAAGTGGAAAACTGATTACCTGGAGGAGGAGGCAGTAGTGACAATGATACCAATCATAACATGTATTTAACATACTCCTACCATGTACCCAAAGAACACACTAAGTGTTTATGTGCATTGTTTTGGCCTATAGATGGGTATTGTCATTTCTATCTTGCAGATGAGGAAAGTGAATTTTGCAGAGATTAAATAACTTCCTAAAAGTCACCCAGTTAGCAAATGGAAGAGTGGAGATTCCACCCGGAGTTTGCCTGATTCTTTGTAGATTGTCAACCACTTAGCCAAAGCAAGAGATTTACCTTTACATTTGCTATGAATAACATATGCTATTAAAAATAATAATTAGGAAGAATGAAAAGTCCCAGATATATAAAAAAATTGTTACCACCATATCCTCACTAGAGTAGAGATCTAGAAATTTTTTTGACCCAGTATTTCATTAATGCAAGATTTAGCATCTCTAAGTATAATGAAGTAAAGATAAAATTAAAATATTTTAGAAGCACAAAACTGTATTTATTTATTAACAATTCAGAAACCACTTTTCCTTTCTACAAAATAGAGGCTTCTAAATATTTATTGTTGAGTTTAGTAACACTTTGTCAGTCCCAGATTGGCTATGTATAGGGCTTTAACATAGAAACACAGTGGCCATTGCATTTAAGTTCTGTGTGATTTTCTTTTGAATTTTTCCTAATTAAGATGATTTTATGTCATCACTAGTTAATATCTCAGTTCACAATAGGTACTTAATTGTCATTTCCCCATTGTTTACTTGGGTTTTTAACATTTTGTAATATTTTCAATATGTGGTTTCTTTCTGCAAATATTTTAGCATTTTTTTCAATGATTTGAGGATTAATTTACTCAAGATTGTAATGCATACAGCCATTGAACTAGCACAAAGAAACAGCAAACTGCTCTAAAATGCAGAAAGTAAATGCAGGACTAAGGACAGACACTGCTCTTAGCCTCTCTATGTTCTGAAATGCTCCTGTGTCGCTCAGGAAAACTTAAGTATTGTAGATTGGGTGAAGGTTCTGGGTTAATCTGGATATAGAAAACTGGTTAAATAATTTTAATTAATTAATTGATCATAAAAATCACATCATCATAGCCCACTGGTTTAAATTCCTGCAGGCTTCTACTATGTTGAACCATCAAAACTGAACACTTTGCCCGTATTTAAAAATATAATTTAAGCTTCTGTAGAAAAAATATGAAGGAAAGAGGTACAAAAATGTTCAGATAATGTCATTTCCTCTAAAAAAATCTAAGATATGACTCATAATCCCTGAAAAAAATTTCCTGGAGTCCCTTTGGGTATGGCTGACTAAATACTGTTCTAAGAGAGAGATGCATTTCATATGTATAAATATTCATCATTTCTATATATTAGGTTGAAGAATGCAAACATTTACAGGAAATTAAATCCTATTTTCATTAAACCTTTCCTGCTCAGAATCCTTACAGTAGATAGCCCTGACATTTAAATTGGAATCCACTCTTTTCTTCATTTTGTTGACCAAACTAATACTGGGAAAGTCTGGGAATTATCTGTTTACTAAAGCGATACCTATCTATATCCAAGTATGTTAAACCAAACTCCAAAGCTTGTGGATGAAATATTTCCTTCCTGTTAAGGCCATCAGGTTCAATTCCTGCTGGGATGGTAGTTTTTTCAATTAAATTTCCATTAACTTTTTGCCTCTGTGTCATTAGACACTAATTCTTATGTGCTGCCAAGATGAAAGAGTAAAAGGAAATATCTGATTCATGCATCATGTTGCTGACAAGTGAAATGTGACGATGACAACTTTTTAATGTGGGAGATAGGGAAGCCGGTAAGGGGACAGTTCTTTCAGACCTGACACTGACCATGGCTGAGGAGGAGTGGCAGCTGCAGCAGGGAATGCAATTTGGAAGATAGTGATCGTGCAGCGGAAGCATTCAGGATTCTAAATGGTGGGGTGCCGCAAAAGAACTGGGCAGACAGAATAGAACAGAATAGAATCCTGAAACCTTAGAGGAGGGGATGCCCAGATGGTGTATTGATTGGGAGGGGAAATGGAGAGATGTTGGCTATTTAAACAAGAAAAAAATGGGAAATTGAGTTGGCTTATTTGGTCAATGCTTTGTTTTTAGATGAGCTGAAGCACAACAGCAGGATAGAAGACATCTAGAAGAACAAGTGGCTAAGAGGTACAAAAGAGCAGTTCAATGAGTATTGTGAGGAAGACAAAGCTATGAGTTTTCCATTAGTGTAACAAAGTTGATATAGTTTATATAGCTATATAGCTATAGTTTTCTATTAGTGTAACAAAATACCTGAAATAATCAATTTAAAAAGTGTAAAGGTATATTTTGCCTCATTATGTTGGAGACTTCAGGCCATGGTTTGTTGACCTGTTGCTCTTGGGCCTGTGGTGAGTCAGCTCATCATGGCAGGAGTGCATGGGGGAGGAAGCTCAGTCACCTCATCACTGGGAACCAAAAAGAGAAGAAGAGGAAAAGGCTGGGGTCCCATAATCCTCTTTGAGGCCACACCTCCAATGACCTAAGACCTCCTATAGGTCCCACCTCCTAAAGGTTCTACCCACTCCCAGCAGTGCCACAGGTTGGAGACCAAGCCTTCTGCACACGACCCTGTAGAAGATGTTTAAGATCCAAATGATAAAGGGCTATAACAGTTTTGCAAGTCAAAAAATATAAAAGGCAAAAACCAACAAACAAAACTCCAAACATATGTTTGCTAATTGACTGTGCAGAAAAACATTAATAATGGATGCTCAGGAAGATTGGCTGAGGACGATCTGAAAGAAGTGCCCATATTCTTTGACATTTTCACAAAAATAAGAGCAAACAACTTTCAGAGTTTCATTAAACAAATCTTAGCCAAGTGAACTTTAATGCATATATATATATATATATATATTTTAATGATAGAGACAAAGAGGTTAAGAACATCTTATGCTGTAGGGACTTGCATTTGGGTTTACATTTGGGACATCTAAAGATCTAGGTAATGAAATTTTAAGATCATTTCATGTTTTGAGAATATAAACTAAAACACAAACAATTGTACCCGTTTCCCTACACACACACACACACACACGCACGCAAAGTTTACATGAATTATATATAAAAAGTAGAACTGACTGTTAATTACCCATAATGTCTAATATTTAATGAGTACTTACTATTCCCTGTTTTAAACTCTGTACATCTCACTTTTTCATTATGATTACTCTATTAGAGAGCTATCTGTTTCCCCTTATTTTACAGGTGATAAAACGAAGGTGCAAAAATTCAATTCCAGGTCAGTAAACGGTCCAGCTAGAAGTGGGAATGAGACATTCCCAAACCAGAGCCTGTGTTTGTGAACACAACTCCGTGGAATAACAGTTAATAATTTAGAAATCACATCTGGAATAGGTTTGATATTCACATTTGAATATAGCTCTGCTTATTGTTCTGAGAATATTTGCTTCCAAATAAAATAGGGGAACTCAAATGGAAATAAAATTTTTACAAGGCTAACTTGATTCAGGAGGAACTATTCCTATTTTCTTGCTAGAAAGAATCTACATCACTTGTTAGGAGAATGCAAAACATCAGATTAAAATAAATCAGGCTCAGCTCTGCAAGGTTTCTTGACCTTAGCTAGTGCCTGGCCTGTGTACATGTGTGTATCTGAGTTCTACAATCAGCTTCACAGTGAGCCTCCTTCCTTCTCCCTGTGCACTTGACAGTTTAAAAGCACCTGGTGCCTTCTGTCTAGACACGGTTTCGCTTACGCTTCTCCTATGTGGGTGCTGACATCGTGGAGGAACCTGGCCCCTCTAAGCCCTTGTGTTCGTTTGGAATGTATTTGGCCCCAAGTAACAGAAAATCCAGCTCACGGTAGCTTAAACAAATAGGGGTCTATTTTTCTCCTGGAGCGAGAAGGCTGGAGCGAGGCAGCTGCCGCTATTGGTTTAGGTGCTGGTGTTATTGGCGGTGGAGGCTCCACTGTACCTTGGCCGGTCCCTCCTGTTTCTAGTATGGCATTGCAGCTCCAAATGTGCAGGCGGCCGACACCAGCTGAGCCTGTTTCCTGTACCATAAAAGTGGATCTTCTTAAAAGCCCCAATGCAGTGCCCTGCCCCCTCCCGCCTCCGGGGACTTGGCCTGGACTTGGTCACACTGGCTGCCAAGTAAGCTGGGAGTATATTTGGGTTGCAAGGGAGAGGGAAGCTGGATGCATCTCCATCAACCCTGCAGTTTAAGGAATAGCCTGAATTACAGAATTGTGTGATAACCAACTTTCAATGCTAGGAGCTCTACTGGGCTATATTGTTTATTATTTTCTTTTTTAGCCCTCTTACAGCATTCAGTTTGATCTCTTAAACATTTGGCTCTAAACTCTTGTTTAAAATATTTTCGTTGACATGAAGAAATGACTTTTTAAGCAAGGGTAAACTTCAAGGAAGTTCCTATCCAATTGATCTCAAATTCTAAAATGTTGTGTTCCGAATGAGTGAGATTGTACTGCGTTCTATGTGTTAAACTAATATTTACTTTTGCATATATGTTCACTCGGATGAGATGTACAAAGTAGAATGCAAATAAAATAACATTTTTTCATGGACCTTTAAAAAGTAACTATTAATTTATGTTTCATTTTTACTCACTAGTACACATTTTTGGAAATACCAAACACATTTAAAACAAAATATGCAATTTAATTTCCAGTAGAAAATTTAACACATATGGGAGTTAGCTTCTACAAAAATCTGATCTGTAAAGTAAGAGGAAACATTAAAATAAGCTGTGAAAAAAAACTAATAATACTTTTAAAGGATGGCTACTACCAAAGAGGGACGCTACACATAATAATCTATGGTGGATTCTTTTAGAGGTAGATTATGGAATAAGGGGCTGCATAATTATCATCTCAACAGGGGCAGGTTTTAGAGTGAAAGGGTATTATTAATAACTATCCCAGATTAAAAAGCATAAACTGGCTCAATTTTAAGCAAAGAAGGATGGGTAGTTGCCTTGATTGGACTTGGGTTTGAATCCAGGCTCAGAAATTATAGTATTTGATCATTATGACTTTCATGATTTGTATCATTCTTTCTGAAATGTTTGATTTTGTACAATCTTATAATTGGAAAAATGTCAATAAAAATTTCAAAAGTATGGACAATGTGAGATTTGCACTTAAAAATATTCAGAAACTAGGGGCTGGGGATTTAGTTCAGCAGCACAGCACCTGCCTGGCAAGCGTGAGGTCTTCAGTTTGATTCCCAGTACCGGAAAAAAACCAAAAAAAGAAAAAAGAAAAATTTTTTAAAAAAATTCAGAAACTAAAAACTGTTTGTTTTTTAAAATCATTGCTACCCGCTCATGTAGCAAACTTCCAGCTGATGGTAATTATACTGTTTCACTTTTAGAGCTCATTTTTAGTTATTCATTCAATTTGAGTAATACTTACTAAATCCATATCATAAACCAAATATTATAATAAGATATTATATTATTATACCTTTTTTTGGTACTCAAGATTGAACCCAGAACCTTTGTACTGTGCAATACCCACCCCCTTTCTAAAATTTTGAGAAAGGGTATTATTACTAGGTTGCATAGGCTGGGGTTAAACCTGTGATCCTCCTGCTTCAGTCTTCTGGAGTGCTGAGATTATAGGTGTTTGCCTCCATTCCCTGTTTACTGTTTCCTTTAATCTACATAATGATGTGCTATAGTAAGCCTTCTTAATCCAGCTTCTTTTAAAATAAATTATCTCTGCCAGAGTAAATGACTTGACCAAAATTGTATGCCTGGTATATGGTAGAGTTTAGATTCAAACCCATCTAATACTGTCTCCTTTCTCATATCACTACTTTGAATGTTATTATTTATCAAACAACATCTTTGCTTTTTTAAAATATGTGCTTAAAACATGTGCTGCATTCTTAAGTGTGTTTTAGAATTACATTTCAGGGCCAAATTTCTGTAGGAATGTGCCTCTAATTTTATAATGGTATCTTTGGGAAAATAAAAGCGGCTGGGTGGAATTTTGCTTTACTGCCAACTCTGTGGGAGAGGCGTAAGAATTATAAGCCTAGGATTTGAAGACAGAAAAAAGTTAGCAACACCAAAGCACTATGTTATCAATATAAGCAGCAAGGCACCTTCATTTCTAACAGGATGTCCAAGAACCCTAAAGTTTGCCACAGTATAGTTCATTGTAAAGTAGATGTGATGTAAGACAGGAAACATCCGATACCTGTAAGAGGAGTTTAGTTCATTACACAAATCCCAGAGATACTCTTAGAAATGACCTAACTCATAAAGTATAGTCTGAAACTTTATGATGAGAATCCCATGTCATTTTTATATTTATGTTTGAAATAATTTTTAAAAACTCAGAGTCAAGTTATCCTGTACTAAAATAAAGATGGCAGAGGTCAATAACAGCTGTTGAACCACATACAGCAATACTGCACAACGGTTCAGGATGCCAGGCAAAAATGAATTATGCTGATAGGCTATGAAGTGGCAACATTATTTGTGCTTTTTCTTTTCCCCATCAGTCTTGCCTTCTCCATTACCCGCTCTTTTTAAATGATTCTCCTGCAAAATGCAAAATAGCTCAGTGCATTCATTTTCTTTATGTTCCCTTAAAAATGAAACACCAGAGCTGTAATTTGCTAATCATATTTCATCACTCATGACAATCACCACATCGAGTTATGGTTAGTGAAATCACTAAGCGTCTGCTTGGCTGTTATTGAATGAAGAAGGCCTGTTTTGGCAATGGAAGAATGTGTTGATCAAGAGCGATTTATAACATCCCAGATTCCATACAGCAATGTAGGTCCTGGCGGAGATGTATTTTTATCCTATAGCGGCTCTCCATTTTCTGACAATGATGAAGATTATTGACCTAGATGTTCAAAATAGTGAATTAATCCATCCAGTTGGGTGAAGGCCATGAGATTTAGACAAACAGAGATTTTGGATGAACTCTTCCTTTGATGGTAGTTCCAATTCCAATGGCAAATGCCTTTGTTGGTGACTTCAGCAATGGCCCAACAGACTGGCATGGTTGCTGAGCAGTCGGGGACACAGAACTCTTGATATACAGCTAATCTGTAATGCTGGTGATAAAGCTGACGTTGCCAAGAAGCCATTCTTTTATTAAGGAGACTTTGTAATATTTATAAGCCAGACCATTTTTCTGAATGTTTCAGAGTACATAATGTGTTTCATTTCGTTCCTCAACAACCTAAAGAGGTAGGTACTAGCATCTCAATGGTATAAGGGAAGAAGGCTCAGAGAGATTAAAATCACTTAAATCATACAGCTAAAAAAGAGCTGATGTAAGTTTGATGCTGTGTCACTAGTCTCCAAGTTCCTTGTGGTTTTCCTTAGTTCACAGTTCTATTGCTCAGTAAGAAACTCTTAGGGATGGATGATAGGATCCAAGACCATGAGCAGATAGACATAAGCCCACATTAAGTTAGCAAGCATGCAGAAGTACAGGGGCAACGATCCTTGGACTAACAAGTAGTCTGTGTCTCATTCTAGAATGTCTGTAAAGAGAGTGAGCTATAGGAGGTAGCTTGTTCAACCCATTTCTTTCTGGGGATTTATATTTGGTCTTTGCTAGTTGTCCCCCAGTTCATCCAGGTACACTAAATCCCTTTGCCCTCTTATGATGTGGAAGATTCACTTGTTAATCAGAGGCATTCACAGGGCACTACATCAGATCCTAACTTTGTACATAAATTTGGATGGCTCAAAGTCTCTTTTTGGGTCTTCTTTAGTTTCCCTTCTTCTGCTTCCTGTGACCTTATGTATAGTCTTAGATTACATAAGGTGTATTGGTCAACAATGGACTGCATATATGAGTGGAATGGTCCCGTAAGATTACATTGCCTACTAACATGATAGCCACCTTAGTTTGTGTAAGTAAGCTCTATGTTTGCACCACAATGAAATTAACATTGCATTTCTCAGAACATATCCCTGTCATTAAATGACATGACTGTAGTTGTTGAAATCATAGAATGAATAAAAACACAATGTTCCAACAGCTTCCCATCACTATGACAAAATAGTGAGATACCAAGTTCCAGTGAGGAAATTTTGGCTCACAGTCTTAAAGGTTTGGTCCATGGTTGCTTGACCCTATTGCCTTTGGGCCTGTGAGGAGGCAACACATCATGGTGGGAGCACATGGTAGAGGAAGGTCCTCAACTCACAGCATCAGGAAGCAAAGAGAGAGAAAGGAAGAGGCTGGGAGCTCAATATCCCCTTCAAGGTCATGCC